GAGAGAGAGAGAGAGAGAGAGAGAGAGAGAGAGAGAGAGAGAGAGAGCGGGGGCTGTATTCTACAATCTACTTTCACTTTTCCAAAGAGTACCATTCTTCTTTGTCACCTCAAAGTTAGAAAGAGGTCGACTTGCTCATAATACCTCTCGATATTAATTTTGCTGAAGGTCAGAAATCAATTATCATGGAATTAGTGTGTTCACACAGGCAAAATGGGTCCTGTTAGGTGAATGATTTCTAGGAACTAAAATGGAGGATAGAAGAAAAAAAAAAAGCAACGAACAGATACCATAAAAGAAAAGGGAAGCTTAAGAATGCTTGCATTTCACTTTTTCTTCCCCCAAATAACAGGTTTTTCTACTTCATATTATATTTTTAGCTCCACTTCTTGGAAGTTATCAGCAGAAGGCTGTCTACTGTCCATTAAACGTGTAGATAAAACTTCCTGTTACATGTATGACCAACTTTTGGGCTTTTTAGCCACAAGAGAGTTGAAAGCATTTGGTTAAGGCTGAGATCTTAGAGCATACTTGCCTGTTCTCTGAATTTAGCAAGACTTTTTTTCCCCTAAGTAAACATGTATTGCTCTCATTCCTGAGGAAATGTGAACAACATTTTAACCAGAAGTTATAACTCTGCATTTAGTTATCTGGAAAACAAAAACAAAAACCTCACCTGAATTCAGGGAGACTTATTGTGGGTTGGCTGTATTTTTGAATTTTCAGCATCTTACATTTCACATTGGTTCTTTTCTTGTGGGTAAAATGCATGATCAATTGGAGAAAAGGTTGGAGAAAAGGGGCATTTTAAAACACATCTTATTCCAATGGACCCCATTTCCTGGGGGGAAAAAAGCCTGTCCCAATTTCTTTGTTTTTATAACTTTCTCCGGATTAGCTACAATATTTTGAAAAGTGTACTTTCTGAATGGATGTTAAAAACTAGGATTTGATGCCTGGTGTTGGGTTGGTGCTGCAGAATACGTAAGAGTCAGGAAGAAGATTCACCTTAATTTTCTATCATCTCCAAGTAAATGGATGGGGACGATCTTTAAAGTAATATTTTAAAAAGGGTAATATTTAAAGTATTATTTTAAAGTAAGATTAAAGTAATATTTTAAAAAGGGTAACATTTGCAACATTTAGGCCTGTAGGTGTGATGGAAGGAGACAGGGATATAGATAAAGCAGTGGAGAGGGGAAAATGAAGAGAGAAACCAGATTTTACTGGGCAAGAAACAAGCAGATAGGTGAACTTCTGTATCCTGCGCAACAAGGGTGAAACAGGAGGTAGTCTGTCATTAAAATGAATATATATGAATATCATGTTTCTTGCTGGCAGACGGAGAGATAAAGGAAGTTGGCTGGCCCCTGAAGTTTTTTTTAGAAAATAATATGCAGTTTGTCATACCGAATCCGGCCGTCTTTACATATTTGTAAACTGTAGCATTTCCAGAGCTTCGTGGTAAGCTCTTTCCCTCGTTTTAGATACTGAACTCCAATTTAATTACCACTTATCTCATCAATAAATTGCCATCCTCATCGCCATCAGCATCAGCAGCAGAAGCATTCCTGTTTCTAGCTGTTTATCAATATTGGAAGCTTTGCCAACCAAAAAGAAAATCCAACTTGCTTCCCTCTTTAAAAGCCAAGCTTAATCCATTCAGGGAAATGTCATCCTTCACTTAATGAAGATCCTGTTTGGTTCTGTTTACCTATCAAGTATGTGTCTTCTGCGGCTCTTATCTGCGTCAGGACAAACCAGTAGGATAAATTCCCTTCCTTCCTTCCTTCCTTCCCTCCCTCCTTCCTTTCTTCCTTCCCCTCCCTCCCTTCCTCTTCTTCTTTCCTTCCCCTTCCTTCCCCTCCCTCTCCTTCCTTCCTTCCTTCCTTCCTTCCTTCTTGCTCTCCTTCCTTCCTATCTTCCTTCCTGGATCCCTCCTGCCATAAGCATTTGCCAATCCCTCACCTGGTTTGTCCACAGGATTCTTGTTCTGGCTTTAGGTGTCTGTCACTCTTGATTTCTTTCCATTGGAAGACAAGAGGGTTGCACTTATTAAGAGTTATTAATACTTAATCATCTGGCAGATTTAATTGTGCCAATATTAAAAATGCATCAATGTCAAATTTCGTTCATTAAATATTTACATTTTTGAAGGGAAACTGTTTTGCTGCTGTTTTAATATCATTTCAGGAAGCTTTATATAGGATTTAATTAAAAGGGGGGGGGTTGATGGGAGAAGCTCCGCCAATCTTGTGCACGATATCCTTTGAGCTAAGCAACACCGTGGTTTTTTTTCTCCTCTTTTACCAAAGGGTTAAGCCAAAAAAAAATCCCCCTTCTTCTACCCCACGGAAGCAAACAGCATCCTGCTCTGGTCACTTCTCCACATCCAGCAGGCTCCGCAGAGCTGATGTAACAATCCCAAGGTGCTAATCTCATTTGCGACTATTTAGCCATAACAAAATATCAGCCGAGCCTTCCTGGAAGGAAGAAGTTAAGAGGTGACTCAGTGCTGGGCGGTCTTCGACACTCTCTCTCACCTTGATTTACTCCCTGCAGTGTGTGTAAGAGAGAAGTGACACCCTTGCCCAGCTCTGCGGGCCCAAGAAAGTTCAGTCAAACAACTCATAACATGCAGATTTTTTTAAAAAAAATTCACGTCCTGTGCCAAGCACATTGGGCTACAAACGTATGTCACAGTTCCCAGTCCACAGCTAGAATCTCCTCTTCCTTCCATTTAACATTTATGTTTGTCAGGTCTTCCTGGAGACCGGTTTTCGTTGGCCTTCCTCTTTTTCTCCGACCATCTGGTTGTATCCGATTGTTTGCGGTCATTGCTGGACGTTGCTCACTCATGTGGAACACCTGTTCATCAAAGCCTGCCCTTCTTCATTCCGTCGCTATCTCAGAGATACCTTCAGGAATTGGTAAAATTTCCTGTGTTTGGGACATGATCCCAAACTGTGTGACATGGTCCCAAACTGTGTGACATGCCGATCGAGCTCAATTAAACCCGTGCTCAGCAACTGCACTTGGATCATAGGCTTCAGCTTGGTTAGTGCGTATCTTGGTTTCCGGGAGTGAGGAGGTGACATTGAATTTGGGTGCTGCATGAAAGTTTGGGTGTTTGTTTACTTGGGGCATCAGTGTTGTTAGGCAAACTTAGAAAATCAGTGAATCGGCAAGCAGGTTATGGGTGGTATATGAATCCAGGCTGCAAGGTAATTTACTCACAGCCACTAAGCCATCCTATGGCTTGGTCAATAGTGTGGTTTGTTTGGCTGATTTATATAGCCACCATCTCAGATACATGACTCTACATAGCTAACACCTAATAAACTCAGTTTGCTCACCCTAGTTTAGGACTTGGTGGGTTTTGTGAAGATAGTCAAGGAGTTCTTACTCAAGAACACCAAAGTCCATCAATAAACAAACAATAAATCCATTTTCTTCGTTCAATTTTTAGGGCCAATCCTGATTGATCTAAAAATGAACTTTGCTAGCTATATTAACCATCATTGAAAATGTTGAACTCAGATATATGGGGCCCAAGTGAATTGATAATACTGATCAGATTGAGAGGTAAAACATGGCTAATATACCTACCTAATGAATATGATTGATTATGGATTATTTGAGGATTCATAGCGATGAAAAAAAAATTCCTTACTTTTCCTTCACCTCATGACCCAATCTGAATGTGTTTGAGGTGGTGCTTCTATTTCTTCCACCCAAGAAGGTTCAGATTTGCCTTCAGGAAAGGTCTACTCTCTCTCTCTCTCTTTAACTTTGTCCAAATTTCTTTAAGAGAACATCTTAAAATGCCAGCACTTCCTGAGTCAAGATAGATGAGTGACAGAGAAAGAACCTTGTGGTGTCTTTTGATATCTCTTTGTCATTTTGTGGAGCTGTTTGTCTTCTATCTCAGCTCAACCAATATTGTCCGTTCAAAGTGTCAGCAAATCTTTCCCAGATAAAATATTTTCCCATCCTTTTTTATTTGGAGAGGACCAGGATCAAAATAGGACCTTTTGCATTTAAAGTCCAGAAGCTCATAATATACTCTTTAGCCCCCAGTGGCAATTGCTGATCGGGACTTTATGAACATCTGATGTGCTAATCTGGATGGTTTTTTGTTTTTTTTCACTGATCCCCAAGTGTGTTGGCTTCTTCCTGCTGATGCCAATTAGCCAGGCCCTGCTAATCCATACCAACTGTGTGAAATCAAATTCTCACTGGGTTACATGTTGACCTGCTGCCAAATTGTATGCAACTCTCTGGCACGAGACAGTTTTCCCCCCAACATATCTGGTAGTTGTTTCTGACACTGCCCAGGACTGAATCTGGGCCTTTTGACATGCAGAGTCTTTACACCTTTTCCCTAAAGAGAAAGTAATGGTCTCCTCCCTTTAGATTCCTGAATAATAGCCTCCATCTGTTCCGAATAAAGTAATGATTTAAAAGAGAAGATAGAAATCTCCGTTGACTGAATTGGACCTTCCATTCACCAAGACCAACGTGGTTTGGAGAAGCAACACCTTCTCCATCCTTATCTGGTGGTGCTGGGAATTAAATTTAGGAGGTCTCCATGTAAAGCTACTGTTGACTTCCAATTGTGTTTGTTGATCTTGGTTTTTCCACTTTTATTCATGGTTGCCCAGACTGAGGTGGGCTCTCAAAGTCATTCCCTAAGTCTTGATACCCCTTTTCATTCCTCCTTTCTTCTTTCTAGGTTGTGCCTTTCTTACGTATTGTGCCCGGGACTCAGCCCTAAAAGCTCAGAGTGCCCTCCATGAACAGAAGACACTGCCTGGGGTAAGTGATGCTTTCTTCTCCGATCGATGCCCCATCTTCTGGGAAAGAGTTTTTTTCTGCAGACATTTGCAAAGAGAGTTGGGTTCCAAACAGCTGATCTGATCCAGAAAGCAGTTCTAGACCCGTCTTCTCCCGCTTGGTGTCCTTCCAAGCTCCTTGGAATATTCTCCACTGGTTGTCTTGCACCCTTGAACTCACACATGTTTATCACCAACGCTTTCATCTTGGTCGGTTATTGGAAATCCGTCTTCCGTACACAAACTCTGTTAAACTTTGCACAAGTCTTGCAATGAAAAAAAAGGGGGGGTGAGGAAGAGGAGGGAAGAAAAGCAACAAACATCTTGTTGTGGCTGTTTTGAGAAATAAATGTTGTGCCTTTTGGTTGAGCTGCATTTGCACGAATGTGATTATTGAATGAATCCATGGAAAGGGTCTGAACAATTCCCCGGGCACCAAAACTAGAGATGTGGGCTGGTTTAATCCATCCTACAAATAAAGCCCACTAAACCAAGGTTAGCATGTGGTGGGAATAAAGCCACTGGATCTTTCACTGGATCTGGTTAATCATGTGGTGCACAACCAGCTCTTGTTTGTCATTTATATCCCTGCCCCTCCTTGGGGGGTTTGGCATCTTGTGGCTAGCAGGTGGCATTTGCAAGGCAGTTGGATCGTGTTTTACCTTTTGTGTTACAATTCTGGAGCAGTGATAAGATGTTGGCTCTTTCTCCTCCTGGATTCGGAGATCTAAGGTTGTTTTGCAATATTCTCGGTTTCAAAGGTTACATTCGCGCTCGTTGTTTGGCGTGGAACAAAAATTCTCCGGAGCTTATCCAAGCTTTCTGTGTACCTAGGTCTGTTTTTTAATTGTCCCTGCTTTGTTTGCCTAAAGCCAAATAGCTCCCAGCAAAGGGCAGAGGGAAAACGGGGAGGATGAAAAGAAGCGATCTGGAGTTGACGGCACAACTCTCCTTCCTAACACTCCTCCATTTATGACCATTCCTATAACTAGGACGGTGCTGGAGAAAAAAATGACTTAAGATCAGTCCTTTCGGTTAACGATTGGCTCAATGTCCTGACAGTCACGTGATCAAAATCGGGTATTTGACACAATAAGCAAATATTGATGACAATTGCAGCACCCCCAAAGTCACGTGATGGCCATTTTTTGACCTTCCCAGCCGAGTTCCGACAAGCCGAGTCAACGATTATATGATTCGCTTAAAGACTGGGTCGTAAAGGTTGTAAAAATTCGATACAATCCTGTGAGGTCTCATTCGTGTCTCTTTGCTTAGCTGCAGAGGTTCTAGTTCCAATCGTAGTCATAACTCAAGGACCACCTGCGCTGGCATGGCTGGATGAAAAACAACCTTGTTGTCCAACCTTGATTTTCAGAAACGGTTCCATCAGCTTGTTAAGGAGGTGCAGATCTGGTGACCTGTTTGAATGTTTGGATCCATTTTCCGAACAGATCGGAGGCTGATTCGATTCAGATTGACGCAGCCTCCACGAAATGCACCCAACTGGCTTCTGAACTGCATCAGATCAATTTGAAAACGTGTTCAGTACCAAGCATTGAATCTTTGCATCAGACCGGAAGGTCTTATCTGATAGATTAAGAAAATTGGAGGCTGTATGGATTAGCAGCCAGATTTTTTGGGTCTGTTGGAAGCATTTAAAGAAGAGTTGTGTCTAAGGGCAGAGTTTCGGCACGCGCCTAAAATATTATGTTCTCTTGTTGTTGAAACCGTTCAAGTATCTATTGACCAGTTCAAGACAACTAAAGTGACTATGTGGGTGGGAGCATTTCAGCTGCTGTTTTTCTGTCTCTTATTTCATTTCTTTCCTGGCAGCTGGTTAAGGCTAGCAGTAAAAGTGAAGGACCAGTAATCCGTTGTTTGATGACTATATATATGTGTGTGTGTGTGTGTGTGTGTTTGTGTATGTATGTATGTATATGTGTATGTGTATATATGTATGTGCGTGTGTGTGTCTGTGTATATATATATGTATGTATGTATGTACATGTGTATGTGTATGTGTATATATGTATGTGCGTGTGTGTGTCTATATATATATATATATGGTATTCAGCTTTGTTCGGGTATTTTCCCACGTCATTGTAGTTGTGCTTTTAAAGTTGTAGCAACGTTTCAGCAGAATCTCATCTGCCATCATCAG